ACCACAAATATAGCCACTGTTTCTGGGATAGCACTGAAGGCTAAACCGGAAGTGTAGCCAGCTGGGCCTGTTGCCCACTTACTCTTTGTGATGTCTGGCTAGGTCTGGGGCGGAGGCTAGACTAATGTGAAAGCGTTGTAAACCAGGAAATGAAAGTTTGTGAGATTTATTGATTTTTTTTTTCTTCAGGGAAATAGACTTTCCATCTAAAGTTTTTCTCAATGATGTCACCTCTTCTCTTTTCCCAAACTTTTTTCTAGATCCTAGGACAAATTCAGCAACATACAATTCTGCAAGGATACTTCTATGTGTCTTAATCTTGACACAGAATCACGACCGTGCCACGGATATGACGATGCTTCTGTTGACTTTTTCTTTCCTGCTTTAAGGAAGGTGTGTAAGCTATTTATTTTGTGGGGGAAGTGAAAATTATGAATCCTAGATAATTTTCTTATAAACTATTCATAAAGAAAGCTTACAGATTATCTATTTGTTTTTAAATCACCTTTTATTACAAAAGGCTTGATGCTTTATGTCCATCCATCCAAGTGCCAATCAGACAAGCTTCACTAAATTGTTCAGGTGTCCACGTACATACGCATACACTTGTGTGCTCTCTCTGTTGTCTCTCTCTCTCCCTCTCCCTCTTTCCCTCCCTCCCTCCCTCCCTCCTTCCCTCTCCCCATTCAGTTCTTGACAGGACACAGGACTCTCTGAACTCAGTAGTCTACTGGGCTCTTCAATCTACGCTTCTGGTGTCTCCAACTGTGTATGGTTGTACAGAAAGATGATCATTCAGTCATTTCAGGCTACTTAAAAGTTTATGTGTATGAGTGTTTAGCCTGTATGTTTATATGTATGCCGTATATGTATCTGGTGCCCACAGGGGTCAGAGGGTATCAGGTAGCCTGGCACTGTAGTTATAGATGACTACGAGACACCATGTGGGTGCTGGAACCCAAACCTGGGTCCTCTGCAAGAACAGTCACCATGTAATAACACCAAGCCATCCCTCTAGTACCCACGTCTTCTGCCCAACTACTTTTCATAGTCGTTTTTGTGCCTTTATCCATTGTTTATCCCACATTTATTAAGCATATCTGGGGCTTACATGTGTGTTAAGTTATAGAGAAGTAAATATTATTTACTTTCTTCCAAGACTAAATTTCCTACCCAAGGGGGATGCCCAATATATTCAACCTATCTGATGGTTTCAAAATATCGTGGCTGCAAACGTCGGTAATGGAATCACAGAAGGAGAGAAATCAATATTCCATTTGCAAACAACAGAAATGGCCTGGTCTTATTAATGCTGCAAATTTAAAGGGGCTTGTATTAGGACACAGAAGCGTGACATAGCATCAGTCAGGGAGAGAGGACATACCTCACAAGACCTGCTTGCTGAATACTTATAACAGATTCTCTGACCTAATGTGATATTTGGACTTCTAAAGAATTAAGATGGGCTAAACACATCTTTTGTGGGACTCTGGGGCTACTTAGTTTAGAATCCCAGCATTATGTAGAGATTCTTGTTGCTTTTATATTTTCATCTTTTCTACATTGTGAGGACAATCAAAGAAAATATTTTAAACCGGACAGAAAGGTTCACACCTGTAATCTTGGCACTTGGAAGGCAAACACCAGAACAACTGAACACCAACTTCTTGGTTGAAACAACAAAGAGACATTTCTTAAGAAATGGCCACTGACTTAGGAGGGAGAATTTCACATTCTCTTGCTAGTTCTTATGATAAGCTGTGATGCTAAACACATATATTTGCAGAACTTCATTACGATCAGTGTGGAAATGTTGATTTTATGGAAATATTAGACAGGGTTATTAAAGAAGTGATGCCCACATCTACCCTGATCATTATAAGATATTTTTGATTCTTCTAACTTTTCTAGTTTACATATAAGTTCATAATTTTTAAAATAGATACGAAGGGCTTTGTACTAACTCACAAGTCCAGGTTACAGCCCTCTCCATCACAGAAGGGAAGTCACAGCACTTTCAGTCAAGAGCAGAGAGAAATGAATACACAAAAGCATGGCTCCCACCTTACTTGAAAATGTTCAGTTAAATTTCTCTACTCTTACACAGTTCATGGTTTCCTGCCTAGGGAATGGTGCTGCCTGTTGTGGGATAGCCTCTCCTACATTAGTTACCCCAAAACGTATATACATGATGGACAGATTTAATTATGAACTTGACATAGCCTAGAATGTCATGGAAGAGAGTCTCAATGAATTATCTCTGTTAGGTTGGCCTTGGGTATGTCTTTGGGGTATTGTCTTAATTAATATAAGCTTTTCTTAATGAATAAATTCAGTGACAATTTTAATTATATTATTTACTCAATATCAAATATGAAATACTGATTTAAAAATAGAAACAGAATATAGAAATTTTTCTAGAGTTTAATGGATGGGGCAATCCCTACTCTGAAAGACAAAAAAGAAGTACCATTTTTTTTTTGGCATGATCCAAACTACTTTATTTTTTTCTCTAATAAATTTCAATACTTTCTATATATGTGACTTTTCTGATATTCTTATTTGTCAAAATGTCTGTTTATAATTTATTTTTAAACACAGAGATTAAATTTTAAAGATTTTATTCTTAATTTTATGTATATGTTTATTTGTGCATGTTTGTGTGTGTGTGTGCGTGTATGTGTGTGTGTGCATGTGCACACACATGAGCACTGTGCCCATGGAGGTCAGAAGAGGTTGGAGCTGGAGTTACAGATGGTTGTGAGTCACCTAGTGTGGATGCTTGGAGCCAAACTCATATACTCTGGAAAAGCAGAACATTTTCTTAACTGCTAAGTCATCTCTCTGATGTGGGATTCCTCTCTGTATGCTATGAATATCATTGGTTAATAAAGAAACTGTCTTGGTCTGTTGATAGGGCAGAACTTAGGTTGGGGAAAACTAAACTGAATGCTGGGAGAAAAGAGACAGAGTCAGAGAGAAGCCATGTAGCCCTGCCAGAGACAGACAGACAGAACTTTACCCGGTAAGCCACAGACACGTGGTGATACACAGAATAATAAAAATGGGTTAAATTAATACGTAAGAATTAGTCAATAAGAAGCTAGAGCTAATGGGCCAAGCAGTATTTTAAATAATATAGTTTCTGTGTGGTTATTTCAGGACTGAGCAGTTAAGAACAAAACAAGTGGCCTCCCTCTAACAACATCTCTCCATTCCCAATATTAAATTTTAATTGAATAATAATATTTTGTAATTAAATTAAATGAATAATATTGAAGAATTCCCTCTTTTAAGCGATCATTTCTAATCCCCTTTTCAAAGAAGGAGTTGTGCTTGGCAATTCACATCTATAACCCCAGCACATAAGATACGGAGGCAGGAGAATAGGAAATTCAAGGTCATCCTCAGTTACATAGTGACTTCCAAGCCAGCCTTGGTAGCATGAGAGACTGCCTCAAAGTTTATTTTACAAGTGGGTGAGAAATGAAAAGTTTTGTTACATGTGTTACAAGTGAATTATTTATCCTTAACATTGCTTTAGTCTGATCAGATTGTGTCGGGGGAAAGTATAAGAGGAAGCTCCATGTTCATTACTGACCGCAGCTAGCCAGCTGTCACCAAAGCCCTGAACAGCCTGACACTTTCTTCTGCTTCATTCAATTCCAGGCAATCCAAGAACCTTACCCCGACTGCATTCATATAATAAAACAAGTAGAGGGAACAGACAATATGTTGCCATGAAAAGGCATTGTATTACAAACCAATACTCATACATAAATAGATATCTTTGGTAAAGTTTGTCAAAGAGAATTCCCAAATAACATTCAGGGGTATAGAGCCCACTTATACACAGCCGAGAGTACAGAGGGCAGATATTTCTGGATCTGCTATCTGATAAAAATTTTTAGCAACAAAAATTTAAGATAAATAGTAATAAACATCACAGCGAACTTTGTCTATCCAGAGGTATCAAAGGATAAAGAGCCTATCGTCTTATGGCCTAGAGTGTAACTAGAGACAACATAGACTATTTCATGTAGCCTTCTCAATAAATCTCTGGAATAAATTTTATTAGCCATAGTCATTCACTTCATTAAAACAAATGTGTGTGAAATTAAGAAAACACCACTGGGATCATATGCCTGGCTGCATTTACCTTTAACATTCGAAAACAGGAGCCCCGTTTCCAACATCCATGCAGGTGGTGTAGAAGAATACCCCATCAGGGAGCAACAGAATTAGAAAAGCATCGCATAGGTCTAATGTCAGAAGTGTATCCTGACCGCAGCTTAGGTAACATTCTATCTGGTCACATCACACAGAACTATTAGCAGAACAGACTGGAGGTCACTTTGAGGGTCTACTCTAGCTGAGGATACTGATGCTCTTTCAGCATGACAACTCCCTCTAAGGATTCCAGCGCTGTCTAATTCCCAGTTCAATCCTGTGGGGATGCCTTAGTTAGTTTTCCTTGTCTGCTTGACACCATCTAGAGTCACTTGGGGGAAAGGAAACTTCTGAAGAATTGCCTGAATCATCTTGGTTTATGGACATATTATTGGTGAGGGACTGTGTTCATGGTTCGCTGATATAGGAGTGCCAAGACCACTTTGGGTGGCGCTGTTCCCTAGGCAGGTGCTCCTAGGCTTTCTAGAAAAGCTAGCTGTGCATAACCCAGGGAGTGAGCCAAAAAGCCACATTCCTCTTTGCTTTCTGCTTCGGGTCCTATTTGAATTCCCATCCTTATTTCCCTTAATGATAGACTGTGATCTTCAAGGCAAACTAAACCCTGTCTTCTCCATGTTTGTTTAGAGTGTTTTATCACAAGAGAGAAGAGAACAGGAGTGGAGGATAAACCATCAACTCCTTGACTAGATGGGCCATCAGCATCTCTCTGTATATGTGGGAGGAGAAAGTGCATGCAGTATGTTGATGACCAGGGGTGTGGCGGTCTAGGGTGAAGACACACAGCTGGTTTCCTCAGCCTGAGCACTCACTTTGCAGGCAGTCGGCGTTGAGGAGGTCCTGGCACTTCTCGTGACATTTGACCCCGCACTCCAGGCACTTCATGCCTTGCCTCGCGATGCCCCAGAGCAGCCCTTCACACTCGTAGCAATAGGTGGGCGTGGTAGCGGTCCAGACCTCAAAGTTGTGTGGGGTGGTAGAAGAAATGGGGTAGATCAACGCCTGCAAGGTCTTCTTGAAGACGTGCATTTTCTGTGAGGAGGAGAGAAGAAGCGAGGCAAAGCAAGTCAGGGAATTGGGGAGATCTCAACACAAAACAGACCATTTTACCCGAACTTGCGATTTTGTGAAAGAGAACCTTTGATTTTGATGTAAGTAATTCTGTTTGCTTATTATTCTGTTTTAAGATCCAATTTGGTTATTTTAACTAAAGAGACCCCAGTAGTCCTCCAGACTGGATGTGGTTCTGCTCTCACACAGGTTCTTCCATAGCTCCCCATGGCACTAACCACCTGCTCATGACTATATCACTATAGCACAAACTCAAGGAGGATACTAATTTACACGACTAACCTTACCAGCTCATAGTAAAATTATTACGTATATGGATGGCATTCTTGATGCTAGCCACGACCCTCTAGAAATATTTCCATGCCACTTCAGATTCTATCCAGACCTTTCTTTCCTGACTGGGGGACATTGCTAATATTTCACTCTTCAAACAATGCTTTATGCAATTTGTTCTGCAAAGAATGGTTTTCAACACACATTACATAGAAACATTTTTTTTAAATCACCAATTCTTAAGAAAAGTCTTGCTGTAGATAAAAGTTAAATCTGATTGGTACTGTCCAGGCAGGTGATTATAATAGCCATTGGTGAATCACAAAAATTCACTGAACAATTAGCCAGAGTGATTTAATAAAAGTACATAATACTTAAATAGATTTCTTTGGGTAATGGCTTGTTGCTAATCTATTTTAAAACTTCGAAACTTTTACAACAGACATTACATTCTAAAAGACATGTGTTTTCAAATTATAATAAATCACATGCCCCATAAAATAATTTATCAACTGGAGAGACACTGAAATCAATACTAAACATTACACAGTTACGGTTCTTTTTCTCTGAGCTAGGCATGGTTCGATGCTTGCCCTTCCAGTGTTTTATCGATGTAAGAGTAGGAAAACAATAATATTATTTTTATATTGCTTAACAGATAAGGCCATTTTTAGTGTGTTCAGACAGCCCTTTGACTCTCTAAAGGGGAGTAAGAACTATCTGTGTTTTAAAAAGCTTTGAAGAGTAAATGGGCTTCTCAGACCCTACACAAGTATTGGGTTGAAAAATCTCCGTACTGAGAAACTGAGGTGTCCCTTTAGCATGTTATCTTTCGAAGAGTCAGGACACTGGACGGGAATAAGTAGCCTTTGCGATTGTAAGTATCAGAAGAATATAAAGTGACTCTGAAAACAAAGCAGTCAGGCTTCTCGCCAAAAGCAGCGAGTGGTGTCCTAAGCCGCCATCAGCCCGCCATCTGCCAACGTTAATAGACACATCAGGAGCAAAGCTCAGCTGCCTCTGTGCCATGTTCCTCCTTGGTCCCCTGCTATTGTCTAACTGGTGATTTCATGGTACTCTCTGGGGTTCCCTCGCGAGATTATGTAAATCAGCAGCATTGCGTACTCCAAAAGAAAAGTAAGATTCTTGTTTGAAGCAATGGTCCTGCACTCAGTGCATACCTTTCGGGAAAGAAGTGCACGGCTGTCCTGCGGCACACACACATTTTCTATTCATAGACACAAGCATTAGTGAGGTCCACAGAGCAAACACTGTGTACGATGTGACCTTTTAAATATCCTTTGCACAGGAAGACTCAACACCACTACAAGTTTACGAGTGTAAAAACAGACACAATTTCAGAGTGAATTAATAAACTCATTAGTATAATCATCATGGAAAGCTGACTGGAGATCTTGATATTTATTTAAACTATAATGCAATTCTAGAGTCTATAAGGTGTAGCCTATTGTCAATTAGCGGACAGCTTCAGATGGTGTCGGTCTCCTTTCCTTGCTACTTCAGGCCTCCTCTTTGGGACCCTGAACCCCACCGGAGCTGGTTGTTTTCAGTGGGTGTCAGGGAAGGAGGCAACCATTGCTCTTAGGAACAGTACTTCCTGTCCTATGTGACACAGCAAGGGCTTAAAATAATGCATGGACCATGCATTTATTATTGCCAAAATGGATGCGCACATGGATATATAATTATTGATGTTTACTTCCTCTATTTTATAAATATCCCCTTTGTAAGTTAATAAAAGCAATTAAAATATAATATAGGTTCGACTCTATAAATTAGGAAATCAGTTTCAAAGTAAATACAAGGCAAGTAAAGAATGAATTAAAACCAGCTAACAAAGGAAATAAATTTGATGGTCACAGGTATGGTGGTTCAGCCTTTCGATTCCATCACTAGGGAGGCTGTGGCAGGAGGGCTGCTGAGTATGATGCCAGCCTGGCCTATAGAGATGAGACCTTCTCTCAAACTTAATAAAATAAAATAAAATGGACCGGAAAGGGATAGAGGAAATAAATTAAAGACTGGATTGAAAACAACGAAAAGAAAGGAAAGAAAACTTTGAGTAGTCAAAAATGAATTTCTTATAGTGTTGATTTTACAAAATTGAGAAAATATAAACAGATAAAAATAGGACTATACGACACATGTCTTTACAAATCTTAATTATACACTCAATTAAGTAGTATTGGATTCTCAAATGTAGACAAAGGAGCTCGGAATTGTCAGTCAGTGGCAAAGTGCAGGCCTAGTGGGCGTGAGGCCGGGGATAATTCTTAGCACAGGCCACGACAAGAGCATCCGTACAGAAGACAACCTTCTACAGCTGACATGAGCAAAGATTCAAAGCCAAGTCGAGAACCAAAGTTTAAAGACCATGGCTGTAGTGGCTACATGAGATGAACAGATGCAAGAGCCATACCACCACCCTCAAATAAGCATCCAGTTCTGGTGATTTAAGGCAAGTTTGGCACAGCACCTTACTTATGCAAACGGTCCTAGATCTGGAAAAAGGGAAGCTCCTGGTTGCTTACCAAAGGTTATTTGGATTTATTAATGTAAATATGTGCATAAGAAGGTACCTATACACACATATATTATATATGTGTATGTGAATATATAATATATAAAATATATTGCATATTTGTGTAATATAATATATACAGAAAACAATAGATTTATATTGGTAAACATATTAAAAATTCAAGGCCAGGAGAGTGTTTGTGGATTGCCTGAGGTCTTAGAGCTAGTGAACTGGGAAACTGGGTTCCCAAGTTCCAAGCCAAAGACTGTGCTCCTAAGGACCAGAGGATGCTGCAGGAGAGATGTCTCACAGATGAGGCGTGCAGGCTGCTCCTGCAGAGGACCTGAGTTCGGTCCCTAGCAAACACGTGCTGAAGAACAGAAGTCAGATCAGTAAGAGTGCTTGTGAAAAGACATCATTTTGAACTGTGTCACGACTGCTGATTTCCATGTCAGCACTTTGAGAAAGGACTCTCAGCCTCATCCGCAAGGAGAACAGGAGGCGTTCCTGTGCATGAAGCTGACTGTCCGTGTGTTACTGGAGACATTAGAGCCATTTCCTATCTTGGAAGAGATGACTGTGCTTTTGACCATCCCTCTCTCTCTAATACTGAAATGTCACTATCTGCTGTTTCCCAGGCAGGCAGATCATTCCCTTTGTGCACAGGCAATGCCCTGGCTTTCCGGTTAAGAGTGCCCAGGAGGACTTCAGAGATGCAGCGTGGAAATTGTTCACTTCAGCATTTATGTCATTTGCCCATGTAATGACCGAACTCGACAGCTTGTCAGGAGTGACATTTAATATGCCTGCTCTACACAAGTCATATTTCATTACTTTTCAAGACAGGGGCCCCAGGGAAATGAGCTTGGTGGATTTGAGAGGGAGCTAAAGCAGTCTATTCATCCGCCCAACACCCCAGACAGATCTTCAGCTCAGGGCTCTGTTCACCAAGAAAAGCGGTATTTTTAGATTGCTGACAAATAGATTGATAGGTAATTTACTTCTGAAAGGAAGATGTTTTCCTTGTCTTAGGTCTCAGGAAATTCAGAGGCATCCAACTCACTTCTATTGTTCACTGTAATAAATATTCACATTTTAAATGACATGGTATATTGTAGTAACCAAAGGTTTCACAAGTAGGCTTTTTGATTGTGGGGTGTGTGTGTGTGTGTGTGTGCGTGTGTGTGTTTTACCAGGGATGGAATCTAGGGTTTATGGCTAGGGTCTATGGCTAGGTAAACACTCTGCCATCAAGTTGTAATAAAAGAAGGAAGTCATATTTTAAAATAAGAAAAAATAAAAATGCAGAATTTCTTAGAAAAATCCTTCAACTTTATTTCCTCAGAAGAAAATGACCAAAACACTTGAAATTCAGTAAGAGTTTTTCTCTTCTACTGGAAGCAGAGAATTTCATGTTGTATCTAAATTATACTCAAAGTATTACAGAGTATCATAAATAAAAGTCCCTGAGAACATAACCACAGAATTTTTAATCATGTACCACAACTGAAAAATGTATCAAGACTATAGCCATACCTCCCTGCCTACACCCGGTCTCCTCTGAACTGAAACTAAGTAGGCAGTGGCCTGGTTAGTGCTTGAGTGGGAGAAAATGCATCAACGGGCTGCAACCCACAGATATTCAGATGAATGTGTGCAAGGAATAGCAATAGTCTCTCTATCTCTCCACACCTCTGAATGAGTAGTTGTGTGTGTACATGTGTGTGTGTTTGCGCACGTGTGCATGCACAGGGGCTACATCTTATAGAAAGATACAAGGAAGAATTTACAGATGCAAGAAGACAATGACAAGAAGCAGAGCGAAAAATATGAAATACGTTGTTAGTAAATGTCAAGTATAATGACAGTAAGACGTGATATGCCATGTTCACAGAATTTTTGTCCTGTCAAGATGGCAGATAGAGAAAAGTTAGAAATATTAGTTCCTGTAAGAAAGGACCCTGTCAGGGTGAGCAGGACTGAGCCCCTTCTACAGGACAGCCAAGGCACACATTGTTAACTAGGCCTCTCTCCCCAGGCTGTACCTGGAGCCAATTACACCAGAACTGCTGGGAGTGACCAGCTCTCAGCAGGTTTCAGAGCTCCCTCTGGGCTTCTAATGAGCCAGATTTAAGAATCGCTGACCTAGATCTTGGCATCCTCCTTGTGTCTTCTAAGCAGGATGGTTTGTACATCCAACAAGACCTTATAAAACATCTACCTTGTGCCCAGCATTGTTCCAAGTAATGGTGATGAGAATTTAATGAGAACAATGGATGGCACACACGACTGCCTTCCAGAGCATCAGAGTCCACGCGGAGAAGTTCGTGCGAAATCCTCATATCCTTTGTAATAAGGAACAGAACAGTATCTCATTGGTGTTATTCACCAAGCTAGTGTTAGCCAAATGATAAGCACATATGCATTCCTTAATTCTCTGTTTTGCTACTACTTCACTTTACATATAAGAATATTCATTTTCTGGCATCTAGTTGCCTGACTATAGCATAGCACAGCATAGCATAGCGTAGCGTAGCATAGCATAGCATAGCATAGCATAGCATAGCATACCACACCATACTATACCATACCATACTATAGAGGTGATAGTGAAATGTTAGAGCAGGGAAATAGCAATTCAACCAGAAGGGAGATGCTGCCTTAACTAAAGGGAAACTTCAGTGTAAAATACCTTTAGGAGTTGTCCAGAGGAAGCAAAACAGATAAGTTGTTTCAGCATAGAATAACAGCCATAAAACTAAAATGTGTGTGAGCATCATCGGTAGTGAAGCCGGAGCTTGCAGGAAGTTTAGTTGGGACCAATCAGGCTTTCCTTGTGTCACTCGTGGACATTTGGCCACATGACAAGGGAGTATCTCAAATAGAATGGCTGTGCTCTTGGGGGACTAATCAGTACAGCTAGTAACTGGCCAGGCACCTACCAGCTCCTCATTGTTCAGTGATGTCCTGATGACCATAGCAAGTGACAGACCAGATTTCCGGGCAGCCAGGGTCTGAAATAGATAGGATTATGATGGATTAATATACGGCAGAGGTGGCTTGCATGCATTTCAGAAGGCAAAGATGTAATAATGCTAGTTGTCACTGTTTTAGTAAAAAGGGGCTTTGCCATCCTACCACTATGAATGGAACTCACTGACTATTAAAACCAGAGACCCCTAAACTTGGCATTTGAGCCTTCATGAAACTGAAGTACATCCAAGAGATAGGACTACTTAAAAGTTTCTGGGATAGAAAGAGGCTTCTAGAAGTTTTCTGTTCCCTGGGGTACCGTTACAATCTGTCAAGAAACATGTGCACTGATGTTACCCAGCCTGACTGGAGAGCTGATCTGAGCTGTACCTGACATTGCATGACTCCTGGGTGTTTCCTAGAATATTTTTCCTATCTAGTGGGGATATGTCTCTCGCACACCCTTATCAAGTGAATGAGCACCCAGATGGGCATCATCTTCAATAGCATTCGAGACCTTTCCATTTCCACTCTTATAAACGGAACTGTCACTATCTGCCTCCTACCCAAACACCATGCTATCAGAAACATCTCTGCTACAGAGAAATTTAGAAATAAGAAGATCCGGATGAGATAAGAACATGCCATCCTACCAGGAGCATAGAGAAGTCAGGTGGGAACAGTGCATCTCTTCAGCCCAACCCTCAGGATAATGACACCACACTGATGAAGCTATATGCATGCAAAGTAACAAGTTACCCCATGTCCATCTTCTACCCACAGTGTCAACCTGAAGGGGATTACTTTTGAAGGTTTTACCCATGATAATTGTACTCTTCACCCCTAATAACTATGCCTACTCACTTCTGCCACTGGGATAAAACATCTTAGGGAAGCAAGGTTTATTTGGCTTATAATTCCAGGTCTATCGTATTGGGGAGGTTAAGGCAGGAACTCAAGAAGCTAGTTACATCACATCCATAGTCAGCAGCAGAGAGAAAATAATGGCAGCCTGATTTGCTAGCTTCCTCCTCATTTTTACTCTCCAGACTCCCCTACTTAGGGAATGGTGCCACCCACAAAGGGCTGGATTTTCATTTGTCACTTATCGATTAATTGTCCACAAGCTAACCTAATCTGCTTAATTCCTCATTAAGATTTGCTTCTCAAGTGATTCCAGGCTATGTCAAGTTGACAGTTAAAATTAACCAGTATGAAGTATTTGTTCCTAATTTTGTGTTTTTCTTACATTTCATTTGTGTTTAGCTTTGCTGTATATATATATATATATATATATATATATATATATATATATATACAGAACTAGACTTAATGTTAGATTCTTGGAGAATTTAACAATATACTCAGATCCCATGTGTGTATGCGTGTATCGCTAGGTAGCCCTGGCTGGCCTAGAACTAATTATGTATACCAAGTCAGCCTCTAACTCATGGACAGTTCATCCCTCTCTACCCTCTGAGTGCTGGAATTACAGGCACATGTGGGAACTAAAACTTATTCCAGAGTAGCTCTATTTCACCACCTTGCCCTCTTTCATCTCATGATTAAAATGAGTGTCTGTGTGAGAAGATCAGAGAATGGTGAAATAAATTGAAAAGCACTTACCATGGCCTGAAGATTCCAGGAGCAAAAGGAAACAACATTTAAATCATTAAACATATGAGAAATGGGTAAAGCATGGGAATGTTCCCTTAGTTATAAAAGTTCCACGCTATCCTGACAAGAATCTGAGCTAACTCCATCATGTGCCCTGCTTTTCACTGCAGGATCATACAGGGCGCCATCTTAATTAACTAACATTTTGGAGAATTAATTTTAGTCTGTGTGTGTGTGTGTGTGTGTGTGTGTGTGTGTGTGTGTGCTTGCATGTGCACATGCACACCAATGAATGCAGGTGCCTACAGAGTATAGAAAAGGGTACCAGACTTCAGAGATGGAGTTACAGATGATTGTGAGACAGCTGATATGGGTGCCATAAACCAAACTCTGGTCTTCTGCAAAGATAGCATGTACTCTTAACCACAGAGGTTAACCTCTAGCCCCATAACATTTCATTTCAAAATTAAAGTGACTGCCTTTAGTGGTTTTCTTAGCAAAATCAAATGTTGCTAATATAAAAGTTATCCACATTGATGCTAAAAGTGATATTAATTTTTGTATAAAGTAAATTCTGATATCAAATTACTAAAAGTATTACATGCCCATAGACCTTGTTTTGTGTGGGGACATCATACCTAGCCTGTAGGAAGTCTGGATGATAGAGCAGTGGTGTTTGACATTCAGAAGGGCTTTTCCTTTTAAGATTTATTTTTCAGTTATGTGTATGTGTGCATCAGTGTATGTATGCCACAATATGCATGTGCCAATAGAGGCCAGTAGAGGGCAACAGATCTACTGCAGCCAGTGTTAACAGGTCTTTGTTAGTCACTCAACTTGAGTACTGTGAACCAAGAATACTCAGGTTTTCTGCAAAAGCAATTTAGTGTGTTTAACCATTGAAAGATCTCTCCAGGTCTAAGCATTTTTTTTTTTCATGAGAGAACATAGACCACTGTTCCATGGTCTGGTCTTGGCATTTCTGAGTGGTCTCAGAATTCCTCCTTGCAGGAGGATGAGCCTCCGAGTCATGTTCAGGACCACACAAACCTTAATGACTTGGAAACAGCAATCTTCTTTTGATGGAAGAGCTTAGTAATTTAGCTAGACTCGTTTTTCACATGTAAGAAGATTGGTTAGCACCATCTGTTTCCATTATAAAGTCTGAAGTCTACTGTGTTAAAGTGTAGAAATCCAAAGCAAGCTTTAAACTTTGTAAGTTAATCTTGTAATCCTTCACAGTATTGAACATCAAAGACTAGCTCCAACAGCTCCAACAGCTTACTTGGTCTTCTCTCCTATTTCTTCTGGCTCAATTTTAAAGCCGGTTTAACTAAAAATGTGTAATTTCCACTGATGTCAAAAGCAGTTGAAAGGTTAGAGTCATTTCTTTCATCTGATGCATTTTTTTTTTTAAAAAAAATAATGAATGTGTTAGTGCTGGGCAGGCTCTGGGTTTGCATACTTTACCCCATGAAATATTTATGAGCGAGGTAGTCAATGAGAAAGGCTTTACATTTTAACAAAGGAAACATCAAGGCATGCAGTCAGGGAGAATGAAGCCAGAGTCACTCACCACATCCCGTACAATAGGCAATGTCTTTTTCCTGCGGAGATCAGGCATGCTATCTATTCCATAGAGTCCACGCCCAGCCCTGAGTGGGGACAAAAAAAAGCAATGATTTCAACAGCTGAAATGACACTGTACGAGGAAAAAAGTCCCCACTGTTTATATAAAGGCTGTGAAAATATCAAGTGGAGACCATTGTTTTCAATTCATTTGCAAAATGGTAAAGGTCTAAGACTCCAGGTTTTTGTCCAGGGCGAAACTCCAGCTGCTGCACCTGCTGACGGTTTGTGTGGAGACCCCACGTGTGGAAACATTAAATGCACATGGCCTGGGTAGACATGTTTTTCTCCTGTCAGTATCACTGAGAGTAGAGTCAAAAATTTTAGGGACACAGACGTTGCTGTCGCCAGCAGAAACCACAACCAAAGCATTCCTGGTGCAAGAGTAGTGAAGACATCTTTGCCATCCAAGTTCCATTGTGTTGTTGTTGTTGTTGTTCTGTGTGCTACATCGACAGTGACCCAGCTCCACAATAGCGGTTCCCGAACCATGGGCAAATTTCAAGCCCTAAACCATAGGCTTCTCTTACCTGAATTTCTCTCACAAATAAATGCATGGGATTAAACGATTTACTGTCCTTATTTTGTAACAGTAACAAAGGTTAGGTCAACTAAATATTCATCTCAAGTCTGTTGATTAAATGAACTTCTACGAATGCAATGAATATACAAGCGAGGGAAATACTACGGGGCTGGCAGCATGGCTCTGTGGTTAAGAGCACTTGCTGTTTAAGCATGAGGACTAGAGTTCAAATTCAGCACTGCAAAAAGTTAGATGTCCCCTAAACACGTACAACACCATATCTAAGGTGGGGGCGTGGAGACAGGAGGATCCTGCTGTTTTTACCTCCCAAGTGCTGGATGACAGGTCTGTGCCACTACGCCTGATTATATGATACTGGCAGTCAAACCTTGGGCATCGTCTGCAGGTGTTCTACCAACTGAGTTACACCTTAACTCCAATGTTCGTTTCTCATTGCACCAAATCGAGTCATTCTGCACTGCCAATTAACTTATAAAATCTGATGACAGTGTCTCCCTATGGGGACGTGGTCTATAAATCTCTGTTGATGCCTTGCACATCTGAGGACCAGCCTACTCACATAAGCAGCTCAGCTCCTGCTGATCGCAGTGGCCTGGCAGCTCTGCCTCCATGATGGACTATAAGAATTGATGACAGGTTATTGGTATTTTAGAGGCCCATTTCCACTGACACAAAAAATGGCCTCTTCTGTGACATTTAGCTTGACAGGGGACCGCTTTGTCTTACTGGAATTTTTCCCCCTAGCGGTCATAGTTTTAGTTTCAATACCTTTCATAGGTTCAATTATTGGTTTGGTAATTGTAGACCAATAAATCTTCAAATTTATTGTACAACTCATAAACTAGTAATAAAAGTAAACTAGCAATGATGATAAAGCAGCAATGAAGGGATCATAGAGGCACAACCAAATTTAGAGACAAGCATCAACTGATGCCGTGAATGTGAAGCTTGGGGAATATCATAGGGATAGCAAAGTGCCAGTGTTGGAGAAGTGCTTTGACAGTTGGCAGCTGCAGTTTGAATGTGGCCCTACACAGAGTCATGAGCTTTCTTAGAAATATGAGGCTTTAAAACACAACTGGACTGCACAGTTCATGAACTTTCTAGATGCCATTGAGTCACACTGTTGAAAGGTTGGACATGCCTGACTTAAGTCATAGGATAAAGGAGAGGGGCAAATGTGGTCAGAGATCAACATGGATGGAAGAAGAGAGACAAGCAGGAAAGTGACCTGCTTCGCTCATGAGACCCACAATCCTGTTTTTCACAGCGTGGCGAAGATGCTAACACACGAGCCAGTTGTGTGGCCTGAGCCTTTGTCTCGGATAATAGGAGGCTGAGGAGGAGGGACAGTGTAGTTGAGCCCAGGTGTTTAAGCAATTCTGGACAACAACAGAATGAGACATCAGTTCAAGAAAAGAAACTGAAGTCAAGCAAAATGAAAAACCAAAAGACCCCACCCCAAAGTCCCCCAAACTCAATAAAGTTTAGCTACTTCCCAGAATAATTCAAACTGAGAACTCTAGGCCATGGCTTGGAACAGTCACAGTGAGTCAGAGCTTCAGATTTGGCTTACAAAAAAGTGGTATTGGTGGCTCAACTTTTTCTTCCCTTTCTCTTTCTCCTCCCCTCCTTTTTTTTTGCTCCTTTTCTACTTCACTTTTTTTATACCAGAATAACATTTTGTCTTCATGTTTTCTGCTTTATCATTTGCTTTTAATTGACTAATAATTGTGTATATTTTGACATGAAGCGTATTGCTTTAATCTCTATGTAAATCACAGAAATTTTCAATCAGGTGGCATCCACCATCTTTTCACCTGTGGTTTGTGGTGTAAATATTGAGTGTTCTTCTGAACACTAAAAAGCGGCAGACTAGGAAGGGGAAAAGCCATAAGCTTACTTTTCTTCACACCCATCTTCACGAAGCTCACTAACACGCTCTTAGTATAAGTCCCTGAATTCCTACCTTCTCCACAGCTCACAAGCACAGAGATTTCTTGCTATGCAAAGCAGTTTTAATGGGATTTTCTATATCATTCACTCCAATTTTAGGCTGTGAGTCTAAGAAATGTCTCCACGTCTCCCTGTGAGCCATAACAATATGAAGTATACATTAGCTAATAACTTCTACAGCACTGCACATCCATCATACTAACTGCTGCCTTCAGATATCTCAAAATGTTTTGACTTGTAAATAATATAACTGCCACAGCCATATCAAGAAACATGGTCAATTAAGACAATGATTGAGGAAGAGATTGTATAAACAGCTGTGTTTTGCAATCGAGTTGTGTGCCTTATTTCCTATCAATTGTCATTAAAAATTTTTTGCCCTGTTTTCTTACAGAGTATGATTGAAATTGCCAGAAGATTTTCAGAAACTTAAGCTAAACTGACAGATGTTTGAGAAGTTTCACACACTTCTTGGGCCTTTTTTTTTTCTGTCCTGTGACTGTTTTAGCAGAGAATCGACATACAAAGACCTAAGCGAAACCTGAGTGCTGCAGAATAGTGAGTGCAAGGTAAAAGAACTTAAACGTGTCTGTCTCTGTCTCTCTGTCTCTCTGTCTCTGTCTCTGTCTCTCTCTCGTGTCTGTGTGTGTGTGTGTGTGTGTGTGTGTGTGTGTGTGTGTGTGTGTGCGTGTTTTGCTGGTACCATAGAGGCCAGACCAAGTTCCCTTCAAACTGGAGTTGTAAAGCCACCCAGTGTTGGGACCAAACTCAGGGGCTCTGTAAGAACAGTAAGCAATGTTAACCACTGAGCTACTACTTGAGCCCACAAAATAAATTCATTTGTGTGTGTGTGTGTGTGTGTAGAGGATTTTTTTATTCTCTCATATATTACATCCTGACCATCAAAATGGATTCTTAACCCTCACAGATAGGCCCCTGTCATTTCATTTAAGATCAAGTATCTATTTCTTTTTACTTTTACAATTTCATCATCACTATAAAAAGGTTGTATATAATATACTAAAACGAAGTTATATATATATATATATATATATATATATATATATATATAGGCTTATCCATCTAGCATTAATAAAGATTTCCTGTAAACTTAGACCCCAGGCTAGGTGTGTGGCTTGATGGTAGAGTTCTTGCCTATGAAGATGAGGGCTAGATTCTCAGCAGTGAAAAATAATGAAGTCTGCTCACTGGCTTCACAATGCAATGAGTGTACTTGATACCTCCTGTAAATCTACAAAATGCAGAAGCAATCTCACCAGGAGAGAGGTGAGGAAGACTAAACTTTAAAGACTGAACATAACAGTGGGCAAAGGCCCGGTGGCCTTCAGATTGGAGGTCAAGGGCAGTACTCAAGTCCAACAACTCCCTAGACTCTGTAACGAGGGGGTCAGAAGAAGATGCCTGCCGAAACATCTGGTACACCAGTAACCGAAGGAGAGGACTCATTTTAAGTAAATGCATTTTAATGGCAGCACTTTAGCTGTTGTTGATTGGATTACCATGCCTCTGACTGCGGCCAACAAACTAGCTAAAGACGGTTGACAATCAGTGTGGGGCTTGCCAGGTGCCAGGTACAATGAATACAATTACAATTGACATTGACATTCGCATATAATCCAAAGCATGCGGATTTCATTTTCTTCTAAGGGATTACTAGGTAGTACTGATAACTACGTCCCTCGTTTTAGGAATGAGGAACAGGAGAACTAGAGCCCTTCAGAATCATTTGGAAGGCACTACCTGAAATAGCAGTGGTAGGATTTGAGGCCATACCCGAAAGCACACCAAGCTGTAATGACAAGAAGATAGGATCATTCCCTTATCACTCATGGTGATGAGTTGAGGCCACAGCAAATTCAATTCGACAGTTCATGAAACTGGAAGTTAGACAGTCTGTTTGTCCAGATCACGTGGCTGATATAGGGCCGAATTTGACTTTACTGCAGGATTATTCTGCCTTAGTCCTCATGTGTTTATGGGCAAGTAGGCTCTAGCCGGGATGAGGTGAGCAGTCTGCCTGGCTAAGCCAGAGCTCTGGATAATATTTGGGTTGTTTTCAAAATATCTCATGAGAGCTATTATCTTCAGATTAGAAAACACATTCCATGGTGTAAATGCCCCAGTTCTCCATCAATAGCTCCCCGCTATTACACAAGAATTGTGGCTAGACATGGGAGCCACTTAGACTGCAGACAGTACAAATGGGGCACAGTCCATGGTGACAAGCTACCAGGGAACTCTCAGGAAAATCAAGAATCAAATGAACCTGACAAAATGAATGTGATTTTGTACATAAATCAAGAAGAAATTTTGCTGGAAGGACATTTGCTCTATTATACAAGCTTTGAAATTATTATTTGCTTTTTGAGATATAGTATTACTATAGAGCCTAGGGTCTTCTAGAACTTTCTGTATTGCCCCCGAATGCCTTAAAATGTATGATCTTCACTTCCAAAGTGTATGGGATTACAGGCATGTGCTATAATGCATATTGTAAAAGACTTA